AATAACATTTAAACCTAAATATAAATATATAATCATATTAAAAGTCAGTTCGTTACACGTTCTTAGTAGTTTATGTTGTCATAAATTACAACAGAATAGTTCGAAAATACTGAAGATATTGCAAAAGCAAAAATAATATAAAATCAGAATTAGAAGCACAGGAAAGTTACAAGAAAAGCTTTCTGTATTCACCTGCCTCTTGAGCCATCTCCTCTAGGCCTCKATCTTTCCTCTCCTTGTCCAAATCAAGGTGTTGCTTCAATTCCTTCTCCTTCTCATCAAGCTAATACCACCAACAACCAAAAACTCAGTTTCATCAGTTCAGTTCTATCAAAACTCATAAAAGTAGGTGAAACATAACATAAAAATGGATTCATCATCTTACAGCATCATAAATCTCATCATTCTTCTCAAAGTCACCACCCTTCCTTGGGAGAATATGAATGTGAACATGAGGTACAGTTTGTCCTGCTTGGGGCCCATCCTACAACACAATATCACCCTCTACTCAGTTTGTCCTGAAGAATATGAATCGTTGAAAAAAGTGCTTTCAAGTATTTTTACAATTTCCCAACACTTCAAAATTTTGAAGACTGCTCTTTCTTTGTCTAAAAGCACGTTTCACCCTCCCAAAACCAATCTCGAATCCACCCTAAAGCTATTAAAACTTATTTCTTGCACCACTATACATAGGGCATCCAAGATATCAGAAAGATGAAAGACATGGCAAGGATCCAGACAGACAAAAGGTCACCCAGCTGAGTAAGCTCCAAAAGAAAAATGTAACAGCAATAACAAAGGAATTCATATCTGAAAGAAATCTTCATGTACATATCTACGAAGTAGCTTACTTGAATTGCAAGTGTGAGTGATGAAGCATCATGGTACAACTCAAGTTGACGACCAACCCGCTGAGCAGCCAGCCATAGATCACAAGTCTCGTCAGCAGTGAGATCGGCAAAGCGCTGAACTTCACGCTTTGGGCAGACAAGCACGTGTACAAAATGTTAAGTTGAACAAGATTYGAGAGTTGAACAAATTGAGTTATAATTTCACATGTAATCCAATGAGAACGTAACTTATCAAAGACATTCAGAGGAATCTTGGCAGGAATCCATTATAGAAGCACAAAATTTGCAAATGCTTCTTAATCCTATCTATTTTTACAGATATATAAACAAAACGAATAGTTGGACGCCTTGCTAAAAATCCCACCAACAAAATTCTTATATCCATCCATATAAATGCATCTAACAATTATATTGGCATGTCCTATCCAAAAGAAAAAAAAAACAATTATTTTGGCATGAATGTCTTTTCCAATCAAAGTATCTGAAGTCACTTCATAAAGTAAACGTGTTAAGCTTTACACTAATAAATAAGGACAATCAAATGTGGGATGCCAGATTTTGAGCTATAACCATCCTGGCCTTTAAAAAGATGGAATGAAAATAAGAGACCCTGCTCGTGCTCATTATTCTGAAAGATGCGTATAGAAACAAATTTTAAGGGTAATATTGAGAAAAGATAATTCATGACAGCATGAGTTAGAAATAAAATCAGCATAATCGTTGAAGGGTCGGGATGAAATTTTTATATTTAAGAGGCTCTCTTCTAGAATATATACAAGCACCTCTCCTAGTATTTTCCAGTAAATCTTGCATCAAAAAGGATATGACCTGCAAAGCCAAAATAATCAATCAAACAAGAGTAAGCAGAAGAATCTTGAACGTTGAATATAAGAATAAAATTAAACAGCTGCAGTTCAACAAAGAGAAAAGCTCTTGCTATAGAACACTGCATAAAGAAGTCTTTTATATAAGATGGTTATACAAAATTCATCATCCCACTTTGATCGTCTAAAATTGACAGCCAAGCCAGCTTAATGCATAGATACATTTAAAGTTTTTGCATAAAGGAGACATTTGTGCCTCCAGATACTGAGACCATACCATGATAGAATCTCATGACCAACCAGAAATGAGAAGTGAAAAAGGTTTGTTATCGAGGAGAATTAACACCAGTCCTGAATTTAGAGCTTACAAGGAGAAGAGATAGAAGAATGGGCTGAAACCTTCAACAGTTCTGAATGGAGTTATCCCTACTCAAAATAAAGACAGATTGGTGGTACGGTTGATAGATAATTCTGGACATTATTTTTGTAAACCTGGCCTCTCCCTCTAAATGACTCCTTTTCAACGCTTGATAATCTCTCACAAATCTCATATGGGAAGAGAGAATCTTGAAAAGGATTTAATATTTCATCTGGCCTTCTCAAAAGTCGTCTCTTATCTATTGCTAGGTGGCCCATAGATCTTAGAGACCCAGCACGCCTCTTCAGCTTTCAAAATAAATTTAACTGAAAGAGAAAATCCCAGGAAGAGTTTCCACAAACTTAATTTTCTTTTCATCTATAGAATAAGAATCCCTCTTGATCTCCCAAAGCTTTTCATTCCATCCCACCTAAAACACTTCCAGCTATGTTTTTTTTTATCTCTTGACATAGCTTTTCTCTTGGAATTCAGAGAAACAATAAGTTGTGGTTGAATCCACTATTTAATCTAAATATATTTTCAGAGCACCAATTGCAGATCAACTAATATGGATACATTAATTATTTGATGCTTTGGAATTTATAAGAAGAGGAGCCTACAAAATATTGCTATGATAGTAACAACTCTACCATCTCGTTGCCTCCAACCCTATATATCATGGTACAACAGAACAAATTAAAGTCAAATTTCATTACTGGAGGAAGCAAAGAAAGAAGGTGAGATCAAGCTCTCATTGCAGTTTAGAATCACAACTAGCTGACATTCTCAGAAAAGCTGTTATAAAGGCAATTTGCATTTTGGTACAACAAGTTGGGTTTGAGAAAGCAAAATTGAGGTTTTAACTATCGCCTATTTGATGTCTATCATTTATTTACGTAACTATATGAGCAAACAAACTTATCAGTAAAGCTAAAGCCTTAAACAATTGATGCCTCTTGTGTCTTGCAAAAAGATAGTTCAATTGCCTGCATCATGACCTACCTAAAGTATAATATTTCCCCAACTCTCGAGGATTTAGATTGGACTGAATACTGCAACCCATCATAAGACCAATTCCATCTATTTAACTTCATGAACTAATTTTTGTGGGGGGACAACTGATGCAGCAGTTCATTAAATTGTATCAAAAGGAGCTCAAAACCAAAAATAAGTAGTTTAATTGTGGTAAGGCATTTAAATCCTCCTTCAACCTTACTCAGAAAACCTTTCTACTGCACTCCATCCACAAACCCGTACATTGCCGATATTAACCCACCTCCAAAGAAAAACTGCCCTACTTTTAGGAACCCTACCACCCCAAATAATCGCAGTTCATAGAATAGAGGGAAGGGAAGTAAAGAGAGGTAAATAGTAGTGTACCAGGAAGAAGCGGGCGGAGGTTGACCATGGCGTAAGAGAGAGTGGTGGAGAAGAATACTTCCTTCGGATGAATCTTGTATCGCCCAAAGGTGTAGTGGTCGGACGCCATCTGCGATCAATGGAAATGAAGGGTGTGAGTAGATGTGATGAATTGGAAAGGGAAATTTGTGAGTTGTGATAGTGATTAGCGAAGAAGAAGAAGAAGAATTACCTTGGCGAATGAATGCGTTGGGGAAGAAGAGATGGAAAGAAACCCTAGTTTTGATGGAGCAAAATTCGAGAAACAGGAACTGGCGATTGAAATTGAAACTGATGCTTGAAAACGAAACAGCATAATTTTTCAGCGAAGGGTTCAAATGAACAGTAATTGGAAAATGCCTTTATCGAAAATCAGCATTGTTCTTCTTCCCAAAAGGAAGGGATTTTTGTCTTATTTCCTTCATTTTTTTTAACTCGTTTTCTAAATTTATAATTTTATTCGTTGAAATTTTTGAAATGTAGCATACCAAATTTATTTAAATACTATTTTGATTTCTATATTTTTTGTTTTAATTTATTTTTAGTTCATGTACGTTTAAAATTTTTTTAGTTATCATACTTTTAATTAATCGAAAAATAGATGACCAATCTTGCATTCGTCATCGTTAAACATTGGACAATTAAGAGAAGACAAAAACAGATATTTATGGCAAAAAACATATAGAAAAAAAGTAATAATAATGAGCTAGTCAGTTTTTAATGATAATGAACAAATTCGATCAAATTTCCCGATCAAATTTATTTGAGAGGGAATTGCAAAAATAACATAGTTTTTGGTTTAAGATTGTAAAAAAAATAATATAATTTGCAAACTTCTGATTTTTGTGTCATGTTTTAAGAAAATAAAAACTGCAGATCATATCTTACAGCAAAAGCTAATAGTTAGAATTCAATTTGGTGCAATGAATTTGTTTATAAAATTTCTTAATGATGTTGATGACGATCGTCCTTTATTTTTTTTTAATTTCACTTACGAATATAAAAAATTAAAAGAAAAAACAGAATTTCTAATTGAACAAGGAAAAAATGTCAATCAACCAACAAAACAGGAACCTCACAACCACCACCAATGACCAAATGCTGTTGTCAAGAAAGACAACATTACAAATTTTGATTGAAGAAACTCAGAATCTTCAGCTTTCTTCTTCTTCCTCCTCTGATGGAAACCTCAAGTGCTTCCCTTTCGGCGTCGGGAACCCCTTCAACCGCACGATGCTCGGCGAAACCCCGCCGCTGCTCTCGTCGCTGACTTCCTCAATCAGTTCATCGTCGGTATCGTACACGAACCTCGTATGTTTCCCAGCAAATTCCGCTGCTTTCCCATTCTCATTCACGCTTATTCTACTCAATCCTCGGCACAATTCATCTAAACCATCATCGCCATCGTCGTCATCATCATTGTCATTTTCCTCTTCATTCTCTTCTCCATCTTCTTCGTCATCTTCGATCATATCTTCTTCTTCATCTTCGCCATTGTGGCTTGCATTCACTTGGATAGACCAGAGAGAAGAGTTGTCGTCGTCTCGAGACGGCGATGACTTCTCTTGACGGGTGAGAACAGAGGAGCAATCTGATAAGGCAGCATCATCATTTGTCTCTGATTTTTCAGAGAAATCTAGTAGTAGAGACCTAGTAATCTGGCTTTCTTCTTGTTTCTTATCGCCTAGCACCTACGAACGAACAAGCATATGAATAAAAGATTAAATTTCTCTCGGCTGAAACTTTGGATTTCAGAGGTATTTATCGTAGCAAAACAGAGTCGAAACCGATATAAATTCAAATTCTTGTAATGGCATTTCCTCTCGACRTAAATAAAAGAAAGATTGTGTCATTTGAACTCAAACCTGAGAAATCAGCTCTTCTTCAACAATGGGAATATCTATTGCCGAACTGCTTAGATTTCCATCAATCGACATATTCAAGATCTGCGGCGTGTTTGCCGGAGTCGGGGCGAGAAGTCCCGCCGGCGATTGAAGATGAACAAACGGCCGGCTTTCCAATGAAAGCTTGGAAATTTCAGCTTCTTCTTCCACCTTCTGCAGAAGGGTCTTCACTTGGCCTCTCAGTAAGGCCTCCCCTGAACCAGGCGTCATCATCTTGGGCCGGCCGCTCCTCTGTTTCGCAATGGAAGATATYGGCGTCGTCAAGTTCCCCGACGCCAACCCGACAATCGGAGAGTCGTTGGTTATGTCGATAAGCGCCAATCGATCTTGCCCCTTTGCCAAATCTTGGGGATTCCGACTCCTCGGCCGGGATTTCGACGCGCCATTGTTGTCGCCGTCTTTGAAAAGAAACGAAACCCATTTAAGAAACTTCTAAAGAAAACAAAACAAAAAAGAAGACGACGAAGAATAAGAGAAACGGCTCTTACTTAAGACGGAGTTGTTGTTGTTGTTGACGGAAGTTGCAGCGGCGAGAGTCTGAGATCGGGTGACGCGCCTGATTGACGACGGAGTTTCCATCGGAAGCTATGGAATTTGATCGGAGAATTGGGAATCCGGAGGAAAAAGCAAAAGGAGCAGAGAAATTCAAATGGCTGAAGGAAGAAAGTGAGCGATGGAAAAGGGGAAAATGAGAGGGGTTTATAAAGGGGTACGGGGAACGGAGTTTCAAATGAAAATATGACCGTTGGAGCGTCCAGAGTAGCACGTTTCAAAAACTAGCCGTTGGGGTTTCTATAAAAAATAATATATTTATTTATTCCACGGTGCAGGCTTCCGGTTCTGGTGGTATTTTTTTGGGGCAGTTTGGTGATTTGAGGAAATTACTGGGCTTCTAAGATGATATAAGTGGAATTATTATTATTATGGTTTATAAAAGCAAAAGGAATTTTAATTACAAATTATTTTTAAAATTAGTTTCCAAGAGAGAGAGAAATTAGCTTTTACCTCTAAATTTATCGAAGTGTCCATTTATATTTTAAACTTTGATGTGGGTCAAATTGCAGCTTAAATTTAGATAAACATTGCAATTTATATCTTATCTTAAACTTTAAAAAGTGTTTCAATCTTTATCTTAAATTTGAATATGTGTTGCAATTTTTACATTATCATAAAACTTCGTTTGAATAATCATTAAAGAAATAAATTTTTATGTGTCTTCAATGATTCAATGAATTATAAAATGTGTCTTGATTTTAGAGAGAAAAAAATGAAATATATATATATATATATATATATATATATATAAAATTACGGACACGGGAGAAATTTTTTTTTAGACAATTCTGTCTTTAGTTTTAAAATTAATACATAAATTATCTTTACTAAATTATTATTTTTATTTAAAATCCTCAACTCCCCTCACACTCTCACGTTGCTTCTTCCCTCTCTTTTAGGTAAATATTTTTATTTTATTTTATTTATCTTTTATTCATATTGTCGAATACGGAGAAGTTTACGAGAAAGTATATTAGATTGAATTGGGAGCGGCTCAAAAAGCAATATGAAATGACATATAATCAAAGACCTGAGAAGTAGACTTTATTCTTCTTTAAGAAAATGCATGAGTCAATGGAGAAGAAGAAGAAAAAGACCAAGCGAATGTTTAAGAGAACTTTTTCCCTATGTTCTTCGTTCTTTTTTTTTTTTACAGTCCATAAATAGAAAAAATATTTTCATTTTCTAGATATGAAATAGAAATGTATTTTGTAATTTTCTTCTTTTTTTCCTTCAAAATATTGATCTAAAGAAAAAAAATTCATGGTTTTCAATATCATTGAGTCCAACAACTCTAATTAATGTTGTTGGAGGATGTAATCTACTATTTTCTAACACTCATTATCGGTCGATAAGAGAATGAAAATTTTGAAATATATCTTCTACATATTAAAATAAAACTAAAAGTACCACACATGTTACGCACTAGTATATATATATACATTCACGGATTGCTTTCACAAAATTATGGAATCAATGAAATGAAATCAATGATGAAAAATAAATGAGTGAATATGACCAAATATTATAAGCTAATAATGGATCATTAAAAACTAATGAATATGACCCCAAATATAATTATAAGCTAATAATGGATCATAAAAGACTAAATTGCTAATAACACTAACATCATACTAATGTTGTAAATTACTGATTTCTTTGATCTCACTTCCCCATATATATTAGTTTTCTAAATATGGTCGGGAAAGCCAAAGAAGCTATGCTTGTTAAAAGGAAAACAAAATGCGGGATGGAAAAATACTTGGCTCGTCAGGATCAAATCTTGTCTTCACTATTATTGAAAATTGAGTATTCCGATGTACATGCATGGTTAATTTTATATAAGATTGCCGAGCCTACACTCCTACTACTAATAAGGGGATAAGACCAACCAATTAGGTTAGAGATGATCTCTTCTCTTCCTACAAGTGTAGTGAAGGACTCTCGCCTCATCCACCCGTTTGACTTACGACATCATCAATGTGCGTTTCAACCTAAGTGATTTCATAACTCAAAAAAAAAATACATTTATTTCGAGATTAGTCTCGTCTCTAGATGTAATAGTCAATTAGCGAGACATTCAAAGAAGCTAGCTATGCACCTAATGAAAGCAAGCTCTTTCATCTTAATCTCATTTACTGAAATTTCCTTTCTGATATTTCTCTCATTAATGTCTCTTCTTATTGGCCATCTCTTTTTTGTTATCTTTTTCCTCTTCTCCCTCTCTCTTATTAATAATTTTGCATAATTTTGTTTTTCCTTCTCTTTCATGCATTCACTCTCCCTTTTATCATCCTCCCTCCCTTCTCTCCCTAAAATTTCCTTTCTTTCCCAGGTTAAAATATCAATATGAATATAGTTCAACCGTTAATGCACACCTTATTCTTGTTCTTAAGGTCTGAGATTCAATTCCCTATTTCTATATTTGTTGTACTCGAAAAGAAAGAAAACGTAGATGGAAACAATTTCGTCGTCTGCAAAACTCATTAGATGAAAACATAACTTTGATTGAAAAAATCACTTTTATCGAAGGATTCCTAGTTGTTATAACGACATTATTTCCCGATGGTGTGTTATGCCGATATTTTTCTCGATGAAAAAAAACATTAGAATAAGATTGATACGAACGAATTGGTAAGCTACGATGACGATATGCACGCGAGTCAAAAAGCTAAATTTGTTTTAGTGCTACAATTGGGTTGATTTTAAGTTTGGAAAGTTTCTTTTAGATGCTGTTAATTTAAAGAATATTTTATTAGCAAAATATGCAGTGGGTTCCATCAACTAATTTTCTAAGCTAGTGTGAGTCAATAAAATATACTGTTGTAGTAGAACTTTTAAGGGAATTGAAATTCTTTTATTGTAAAAAATAAATAAAGAAAATGAAAGTAGAAAAGACGTCGGAGTTGGAAAGGTTTTAGACGTGTTTGGATAACGGTGAAAGAAGTGATTTTGAAAAAAGAGATTTAAGAATAATTGATTTTCTAAAATCATCATCCAATTGATATCTTAAAAATCAATTTCAAGTAATTTTATATTTTCTTAAAATCAACTTTTTAATTTGACAAACATAATCCATCGAAATGAAAGTGATTTTGTCATACCAAAAGCACTCTCAAACACAACTTTAATGTAAAAAAATAAAGAAAATGAAAGTAAAAAAGACTAAGAGTTTGAATAAGGTAGGTAAATTTTGAGAATTTGATTGATTTTTTCATTTTTTGAATATAACATGTGAGTGGTGAGATTCGAAAGCCTTTACATCTATATTTATGTGAGATTTCTTCAAAAATTATATGGATTTAGATGTGAATTAGTGAGACTCTTTTTAAGATAATTTCTCTAAAAAAGTTATATTAAACATTAATTTGTCAAGAAAATTATTATTGAATGAATATAAAATCCTATCCAATAATCAATAGCCATGTCATTGATTTAAATTAATGACGAAATTACATATTATTATATTTGTAGCCAATTACAAGTTAATACTTGTTTTCATTTAGCCAAATGACATAAATTAGTCCAGGTTATGTCAACATGTGCCAATGATCAACCATCAGGTTTAAATCTTTAAATCTACCTCAGACCTACCAAAACTTTATAAATAAAAATGGCTGCTATATAGAATCATTTAGAAACAGTCATGCAATAGTAAGAGGATTCAGAACTAGGATAAAAGTCCTACTCAGAAGATTAGAAAACTCAGACTTTCACCTTCGTCAACCCCCTTGATACGAGAACAATCAGATAAAGTTTACATAGAAAGCATCAAATGACTATACAATAGAGATTATAACTCGATTTTCATTATTCTACTCTACATTCTTGAAACCTAGATACGAGAGAATCCTAACGATGCTTAGAATCAAGCAGATCTAAAGAAGTTTTTTCTTCTCCTTACTGGAAAAACCATATAGTTATTTCACAAAATGTTTTTGTTGGTCCTTTCCCTGGATACTCTAAGATCATTTTTCAAACGTCTTCCCATTTCTTATACAAAATTAAGTTCATTTATTTTGAGTTTTATTTTTCATTTTTTTTAGAAACGTTTGTTTCAAATTCTACTCCTCTAAATTTCCTCGTGAACAAATATATATAATTAAAAATTCAAAGTTATTAAATGTTGGGCTGATTATCTTATATTTTAAAACAATATTTATAACTATAAAAAAAATAAACACAACATTATCAATATATATTGTATGGAAAAACAAAAACGTGGCCTTAAAAAAAATAGTAAGTCAGCGAAAGAGTATAGTTCTAATACTTCAACCAAGAGATTGTGAGTTCAATCCTCCACCCCATATATTGCACTAATAAAATAACAAACTTTCTGTCATATTCGACAGTATTCAAATTTATTTTATGCTGGATAAGTAAATCTATACTTTAAATTTTAAATTTCTTTCGATTTTTCAATTAAGTCTCTACTAATTGAGGTATATATCTCAAAAATTTATATATACACTTCTTAGAAAAAAATATAAAATACTTAACTAATGATGTCCTATCTTGTGTTCGTCACCCTTAAATAGTTGATGGACTAATTTTTTACAAAAAATTATTTATTTTTGTATTTCTCTCCTATAATTATCAGATATTTAACCATAATGAACACTATCTGTATATATATTGGAGAAAGATGAGCACAAAATAGATATAGGATCAAAGTATTTATTTTTTAATTATTTTTAATTCAACTGCAATTTTATTGATTCGTGCTTTTATTCATTCAAACGGTTAGGTTTTACACGTGGTGCTGAACACGACACGTCGTCTATAAAGTGGAATCAATTGCCAATTGTGCTGTTTCAGAGAAAGGGAAAAAAAATTGTTAAAAAAAAAAAAAAGACCCAATACACACTTACGAATTTTTGGCCAAAATTTGAAATTAATAAACAATTTCCCAAAATTTTTCTTAGGTTTTGAGAATAATTTTAAAAAATAAATAACAAAACATAAAAGCATAAAGGTAAAAATAATATTTATTTTGAAAAAAATAAAAACATTATACCATCAAACAATTACTTTTTTTCTAATATAATGGTCCATATCGAAAACTATCCTCATCCTATAATAAAAAAAAGTAATTAATTGTTGCATTGTTCTAGATTCTATATATATATATATATTTAACAACTGCCTCATTAATTTTGAAAATGTATTTTTTTTTTAAACGAATGGTAAAATTGAGAGATTTTTTCTTTTTGGTGTAATTTAGCATTTTTGTAAATAGAAAAAGAAAAAAAAAGGGTAGTTAGGTAGGTAGGCGGTGTAAGGCAAGGTGGTCACGTGCCTCTCACGTGTCATCTCCCCCATAAGATCTGGCCCCGTGACCCGTTCCTCTGTAACTAAAACCCGCCAATTTTGCCTCTCCACAAAGCTTCTCCCTCTCATTCCGATGGCTCATTCCGTCTCCACTCTCACCGCTCTCGCCGACGAGAAGACTCTCCGGCCGACTTTCGTCCGCGACGAGGACGAGCGTCCCAAAGTCCCTCACGATCTCTTCAGCGATGAAGTTCCGATCATCTCGCTCGCCGGAATCGACGATGCCGAAGGCGGCCGCAGGGCCGAGATTTGCCGGAAAATCGTGGAGGCCTGCGAGGATTGGGGGATTTTCCAGGTCGTCGACCACGGCGTCGACGCCGCACTTATTTCTGAAATGAGTCGCCTCGCTACAGAATTCTTCGCGCTGCCGCCGGAGGAGAAGCTCCGATTCGACATGTCCGGCGGAAAGAAGGGCGGATTCATCGTCTCCAGTCACCTCAAGGTAATCGAACATCGAAAACCTCCTCCGATTTTCGCCATTTTCGCTAATTTAATTTCCAGATCTACTGCAAAATTGCAGAATTATGTCGTGGCCACGAATAAACCACCACTCTTCCAAAAAATAAATTTAATTAGTTAAACTATTAGTTTGGTCCTATATTTTTTAACTGGTACTTCTGTCTTTGATCATTTCATTTAAATTCAAATCTCCTTTTTTTTTTGTCATTTTATTTTAAATAATGTCAATGTATTAAAGAATCTTCGAGTATAAGACTATAATGTCAGAATACCCGGAACTAAAATAGTATTTTAATCAATTTAATTTATTAATTCATATATTAGATATTCAATGTTGAAATTGCAGGGCGAAGCAGTACAAGATTGGCGGGAGATAGTGACGTATTTTTCGTATCCTATCAGAAACAGAGACTACTCGCGGTGGCCGGACAAGCCGGAGGGGTGGGTGGCGAAAACGGAGGAGTACAGCGAGAAGCTGATGGGGCTGGCCTGTAAGCTTCTGGAGGTGCTATCGGAAGCCATGGGGCTGGAGAAGGAGGCGCTAACCAATGCCTGCGTGGACATGGACCAGAAAATTGTTGTCAATTTCTACCCCAAATGCCCTCAGCCGGACCTCACTCTCGGCCTCAAGCGCCACACCGACCCCGGCACCATAACGCTCCTCCTCCAGGACCAGGTCGGGGGCCTCCAGGCCACCAAGGACAACGGCCGCACCTGGATCACCGTCCAGCCCGTCCCTGGAGCCTTCGTCGTCAATTTGGGAGACCATGGCCATGTAAGTATCAAGTATCTTCTTACTTACCATCACGGTTAAGTATATATAGTTATACTTTATTAACCTATTTAGACGTGGAGATAAAACTCGAATGAATTGCATGGGTTTTTCAAGACTAAATTTGGATTAAACCGAATCAACTCGCTCCAGAGAGAATTCATAAGTGTTTGTGTGAATTTTCAGTATCTTAGCAATGGGAGGTTCAAGAATGCTGATCACCAAGCAGTGGTGAATTCAAAGAGCAGCAGATTATCCATAGCCACATTTCAAAACCCAGCGCCAGAGGCCATTGTTTATCCATTGAAGGTCAGAGAAGGGGAGAACCCAATTCTTGAGTCCCCCATCACCTTCTCTGAGATGTACCAGAGGAAGATGAGCAGGGACATTGAGCTTGCCAGGCTCAAGAAGTTGGCCCAACAAGAACAGGCCCAAGCCCAAGAGTTGTTGGACAAGCCCCATTTGGTCGAGCCCAAGCCCATGGACAAAATATTTGCTTGAAATGTTGGACCGGGCCCATTTTAGTTGTCCAGCCTGTGACCATATGGAATAACTATAGTGTACTTGCACTTGCTCTATGGTCATCTATTGTTACTATTTATGTAATGAGATGTTATTGATTATGATAATTATAATATTATATTTTGGACGACAAAAGTTTGAATCTTCACTCGAATGATAATAATATGTAATGCCGCACGTCCAGGATTTGAATAAGGATTCAAAATTCGGATTACGACCTAGCTCCACACGAGTCCTTTCAGTATACTTTGTCATCACTCACATGTTTCTTAGTAAAGCACTTTGTCGGTAGAACTATCAATTATTTTAATTATTTTCTCAACCATGTTTCCATAGCATGATCTTGAGTGTCACATAATAATATTAATAATAATAGATTTGTGATTTGTTAAAGTCCGATATATTTAAACAAAATCTAATATGATACCCCCTCCCATGTGCCAACAATTATCTTCACTGCTATCTAGTAAAACAAAAAACAAAGTCACATGTGAACAATCATCTCTGTACAAGAACATATCATTATAGAGATACGTATAGATTCGTTATCCCTATACTTCAAAAGCCTATAATATCAATTCTTTTTCCAAACTCATTATCTCTTGATGAGAAACAAGTACTAATTACTGCCGAGTTAAGTATGAATTTTAAAGCTTGAGAGGAAAGTTTGAAAGTGGCAAATTAAAATACAAAATATACAAAAATAATTTATAATCTCACATCGTAGAAATTTTGGATATTTCTCTTGGGATATTTAAGAGATGTATAATATACCACATTAAAACAAAAAAGAAAGTGAATTGAAAGTAAAAAAAAGAATCAAAGTGGGTGGTGGTGGTGTAGACTTATCCTCACATGAACCACTGCATCTCCTCTGCAATCTCCTCCACCCAATCCCTAATCTCTTCTCCCATATTTCACAAACAAAACCCATTTCAATTTCCATTTCCATTTCCATTTTCCTCTGTCTCTTTTTGTTCTTCAGCCATGGCCGCCGCAGTCACTGCCGCAGTTTCCTTCCCCTCCGCCACAAAATCCGCCGCGCCCCTCTCCTCCAGAGCTTCCCTAATCGCCCCCGATCGAATCGCCCTCAAGAAGGCAACAAATCCACAAACCCCCAAATCAGATACCGCTGCATTTTGATCTGGTGATTTGGAAACTGAATTGAATTGGATTTTGCTGTTTTTCAGGTTGCGGTTTTCCAGCAGAATGGGCGGGGCAGAGGGATTATTAGGGCTCAGGTGACGACGGAGGCTCCGGCGAAGGTGGAGAAGGAGTCGAAGAAGCAAGAGGAAGGAGTCGTCGTCAATAAGTTCAAGCCAAAGAATCCGTACATCGGACGCTGCCTTCTCAACACCAAGATCACCGGCGACGACGCTCCCGGCGAGACCTGGCATATGGTCTTCACCACTGAGGGTAAACTCCATTTTCCTTCCCCTTCTCAATTTCATTGAAAATTTTTCAATTTGGTCCCTATGATCTTAAAAAATTTTGTCTGCGCAAGACCCGATTTTTGGACTTAGTTTCAACTTAGTCCTTATCGTTTTAGTTGAATTTCAATTTAGCTTCGTAGTGTGTTTTTTTAGTACAAAAATATAGTGGCTTGAGACTTGAATCCATAACTCTTTCGTTAATTGTTGATAAACTATAGTTCTTCTGGTCGTCCCAATTAGCATATAGTTTGAGTTTATTTTTAATTTGGTTACTGCAATTTTAAAAGTTTTGGTTTAGATCTTTGTGATTCCGTGAGTTTCAAATTGCTATAAATTTGGTTGCAACTTAATCTTTATAATTTTTGTTGAGTTTCAAATTGATTCATCTAATTTTAAAAGTTCGTTCATAAATTGTCTTTTCCGTAAAATAAAACTCACATAACTTTTAGCTATTTCGTCGTTCAACTTAAACTTTATAATAATTAGGATATTAAATTTAGATTGACATGTTTATATATGTTTATGGGTTGGACATCATTGCATAGAAATAGATAAAATATAAAAAGAATATATCATCGATGAAAATATAGTATTAATAATTGATATTTTTAACTTATTTAAAAATGGCAAAATATTTATTTATGAATTTTTTATTTTTATAAATTTTCTTGAAATATTCATAATTATCGACAATTTACCGTTAATCTCTACATTTTTCATAAAATTAAGACTTTGATGTTTCCTAATATAGTTGGCCAAACAAGAAACATCTCCTCATTGGCTGTGACGTAATTGATATGGCAACAAAAAAAATGATAATTTTTGTTGTATTAAAAAAAATCATAATTACTAAATTAAAACTTGGTGAAATTATGCCCAAACCGGAGGGATTAAATTTGTAAATTGTAAAGTAACCCAACATAAAAGTAATTATGTTAGAAAAAGGTCAAAGTCCTTTAAAAGTGGTTGGTGAAGAAGTTCTTATAAAGTAATTTTCACGAGTTTATGAACCGAACCGAAAATCAAAATGATTTGTTATTAAGTCGAGCGCGTCGGGTAATAGGGGAAGTGCCGTACAGAGAAGGGCAATCGATTGGGGTAATTGCAGATGGAGAGGACAAGAATGGGAAGCCTCATAAGCTGAGATTATACTCCATTGCCAGCAGTGCCCTTGGTGACTTTGGAGACTCCAAGACTGTAAGCTTTCTTCTCCCTCCCATACATTTTCGTAATTTTGCAATTGTTCCTATCAATATTTCTCGACAATGAACAAAAGATGTGCTTGAGTCTACGACGAATTTTTGTTAGGTAACTTATCAAAATTTACTAAAATAGTTCTGGCCCCTATTTTCAAGAGGGTTAGGTTTTGATATATGAATGAAAGCTTTGAGACCAAAATAGAATAAAGGTTCTCATATTATTTCGATTTTAGTTCATTTTGGTCATTGTAATTTCATAACGTTAGTTTTGATCCCTATAAATTTTCGACTTTTGTTTATTTGCAAGTATATAGACTAAAATGAAGTTTTTGAAAGTCGGACTCGAAATAATGCTTAATTCTATAATAAATTTGAAAGTTTAAGTGATATTTTGAATCAAAGTTGATTGATTTTTGTGATTCTAATTTGGTTAGTGAATTTACAAATACAGGTTTCTCTATGTGTGAAGCGGCTGGTGTACACCAATGAACAAGGGGAAATTGTCAAAGGAGTTTGCTCTAACTTTTTATGTGAGTTTCTTAACCTTTTTCTTTATTTTTAACTCACTTTATAATAATACTTTAAAATCACTAGTTTTATGATTTTAAAAAATAATTAATGTTTGCTTCCTCGCCATTGTAAAATTATGTGTTTAACTTTTCTTGAAAACAAAGTCTTTGGTTATTTTTTATTTTAAAAAATTATACTTTTCTTGTGTAAAATTCCATTAATAAGTTTTTTACCTCTCATATCTGAATTCTTAGCCAAATTTCATAAATAAAAAATAAAATTTTAAGTAAAATTCTAAGCTTAATTAATTTTCAAAAACATAAAATAAAAAATAAAAGGGTCGGGGAACTTTTAAATTAATGAATACTTAAGCAGACCAAAAGATGTTATTTGTAAACAAGTTTACTTTTAAAACTTGATTTAAAAGATTAAAAATATTTTTTATAATTTATTTGAAATTGAAATTAGTTGAGAATTGATTAATTTTATGGTTTTAGGTGACCTGAAACCTGGAGCCGAGGTGAAGATAACAGGACCTGTTGGAAAAGAAATGCTTCTGCCAAAAGATCCCAATGCTACAATTATCATGGTACTAATTTTAATTTCATTCAATTTAATTTTGAATTTGAAAAATTATTGCATTAATATCTTCCTATAAATGTATCTAAATAATTGTAAAAAAAAAAAAAATCTATTTTGCTACATCTACTTTCAACTTTTATTTGTTTTAATTCTTTTGGTCCCTATATTTTAAAAAATGACTGTTTTGGTTCGTGTTTGTAAAATTTTAACACAAATTTTGTACACAATGGAAATTCTTTGATACAATTTTATGGCTATATCTTACAAAAAAAAAAACTGTGAGTAAAATGTCATATTTTGAAAGGAAGGAGATAAAAATGAAAATGAAGGGACTAAAATGGTCACTTTTGAAAATTTATATACTAACGTTTGTTTTGGTCTCGGTACTATATTAAAGAGTGACCAGTTTGGTATTTATCAGTAAAATTTCAGTACAAATTTGATACATAATGGAAATCGGCCTTTAATACCATTTTATGACTACATTTCAAGAAATTTTGTGAATGAAGTGTTATGTTAAAATTATAGCCGAAAGAAATGAGATAGAAATGAAAAAGAGACCAAAATGGTTTCGAATAGAAAGATTAAAATGAACAAAAATTGATAGTGCGATGACCAAATGAACCAAAGTCGGAAGTATATGAAACAAAGTAGTATTTAAACGAATAAATTGTAATTTTAATATTAAACTTCACACATCTTTGTGGAAAATGTTATTGTTATTTTAATAATTAAATTGATGGAATTTTGTTATTTGTTGTAGCTTGCAACTGGAACTGGAATTGCTCCATTCAGATCATTTTTGTGGAAAATGTTCTTCGAGAAGCATGAAGATTACAAGGTAAATGCTTCTGATTTTGTTTTTTTTTTTCCCCTAAGTTCTAATTTGCAATAATTTTTACTCACATCTTTAACCCTCTCTTATATATGCTTTGTGTAGTTCAATGGTTTGGCATGGCTTTTCTTGGGTGTCCCAACAAGTAGCTCACTTCTTTACAAAGAGGTAAAAAAAGAAAAACCCTATTCTACCTCCTCGAGAACCCGAGAAACAGATTACAAAGTTTAGTGTATGAATTTTTAGGGTCGTTAAAACTTTGAAGGTCTGGTCTCTGAACTCTGAAAAGTGAAAATGAAACAGGAGTTTGAGAAAATGAAGGAGAAGGCTCCCGATAACTTCAGGTTGGACTTCGCTGTGAGTCGAGAGCAAACAAACGAGAAGGGCGAGAAAATGTACATCCAAACTAGAATGGCGGAATATGCAGAGGAGCTTTGGGAATTATTGAAGAAAGACAACACCTATGTGTACATGTGTGGACTCAAAGGCATGGAGAAGGGAATTGATGACATTATGGTCTCTTTGGCTGCTAGAGATGGTTAGATTTTTCCCCCTCTTTTACCTTCATTTTATTAGCAGCACACATGTGTTGTAGGGGTGAGGATTTGAACTCACGACCTCTTAGTAGGAAATAGTTGCCTTAACCAGTTGAACTATGTTCAAGTTGACATATCTTCCATTTTTAAAATTTGGTAAAAATTTCAAACTAAGTTATGCAACAAAAGAATTACAAACCTAGACTAAAATCAAAATTGCTATCCAATAAATCAACAAAGTAGATAGTTGCCTCCTAAGGATGTTCAACTAAGGAGTAGAGCTTGAATTCCCACAAGGAAGTACTTTCTAATTGTATATAAATTCTAGAAGTTTATAAGTAAACTAAAGAGAAATTTCAATACTATTTTTCGACATATAATATTTTAAATATCGGACTAACTAGGAGGAAAGAAAATGGTCAGAAATGACAATTGCTCATTTTTTTCTTCGCTCTTGGTTCGACTAACTAAGACATTATTTATTATTCTTTCTGTTTTTGGTAATATTATTGATAAAAGGCAAGTATTTGATTGGACAATAATAATAAATAGGTCAATTAGGTAAATAACAATTTTTTTAAGAAGAGAATAAAAAGGTAATTTTGAAACATTGGGTGATAGATTTTTAAATGTTTGATTTGATATGTATTTTTTTTTTTTTTGCAGGTATTGATTGGCTGGAGTACAAGAGGCAGTTGAAGAAATCTGAGCAATGGAATGTGGAAGTCTATTAATTTTATAAAAATAACTTGTACATTTTGATTTCCCCCAAGCATTATATTATGTAGATATAGGTCATTTCTTTTTTCAAATTTTCTCCCATTTTAGAATTCTATTGTTAATTATGGCCATAAGATGAAAAAAAAAAAAAAACCTCTCTCATTTACGAGAATCATGCACTAAATGAAATACTTTCACTCCCATTCCATCTCTCAATATCTTCTAGATTATAGAATTTCAAATATAGATAGGAGGTTTGAACTAGATCTGATTAGAGAAACTACTAAAGAAATATTTTTTTTAAAAAATATATATTTTAAGAGTTTTTTCAAGAATATATTTAGAATGGTTGAATAATTGATATTTAATCTAACAAATATATTTAGAAATGACAATTTGCTAAAATAAAACTATTAAATAACAAAATTAATAAATTGGAAATATGTAATTTTTTTTAAAATGAAATAAGTGGGAAAAAAGTGTGTAGAAAGGTGTTAAATGAGAAAATTTGCACCTATTTTCTAAAATTGTGCCTATTTGCTCATGTAGCTCATTTATTATTTTTTTAGTACAAGCAACCTCATTTATTACTTGGCCTACAATTTAATTTAATTTAATTTTTAAATTTGGAATTTAAAGCTTGAACACATAGAGATTTAACCTGCCTTAGGTGTGACCCAATATTTGAATAGCAAAATTTATTTAGTTCAAACCCGACCCAATTATTTTGCATCATGTTTATAATAATATAATACACAAGTCATATTAGCCTTTTAATCTCAACATCAACGTCACATTAAGAAATTGTTAGTCTATTAACAACAGATTTCAATCGTGACTAAAATTCTCATACACTAAAATGAATCTTTTAAAATTTTGGAGGCCAAAATAAAATAGAGATGAAAGTTGAAGGATCAAAATAAAAATTAAATTAAATATTAATCAGCTATATTTTTCCAAAAAGAGGGATCTATGGTTGGGCTCAATTCCTATATTATGTTGCCCATAAAGTGGGCCACAGTCCAGTCATGTGGAATGTTTTTACCATAATGACATGTCGTTTTACTTCTACCAAACGACATGTCGCGTGTTCCCACCTATATATTAATTACCTTTTTATTAAGAAAAAGGCATTTAAATATTCTATATTAGTTCCCAAGTGCGTAAAAAGTATTCTAGTCATTATTATTTTATATTTATTATTATTATTAGTATAATATCAAATTTGGACCCACAGATAACTACCTTGACCTATTGAATTACACTTTCATTGATATTTTATATATATTATATAATAGAAATCTGACATAAACATGTATTTTTTGGCAAATAAAATATAACCTACAATTGTCCTATATAATTTGATTAGATGATTGATAAAAAATAAAAACAATAACTAAAATAAATTTAGTATATACTACCTTAGTTATTTTACTTTTAAAAATTATTCGTTCTAATCGATTTACTATATTTTTTAATCTCATTTTTATTTCGATCACAATTCAAATATAAGAACTACAGTAAACTTTTCCAAACATACTTACAATTTGATTTTTAAAGATTTTGTGTCAAAATTTGCAAACGTAAACCAACTTATCAATTAAAAAAATTATAGGAACTAAAATATAGGTTACTCAAGTACCTGGACTAAAATAGAAATAGTTGAGAGCAGAAGAAGATGATGAATGAATGTTTTTTAAAGTATAAATGAATAAAAATTAAAAATATAAGATCAAAATAATATTTAAATGTCAAAACCAGCATGACTTAACCATAATTCGTGTGTATTTCCAACTAAGATATTGTGGTTTGATCCCTCAACCCCACATGTTATACTAAATTGATAAAATAAAGCTAAATAATATTTAAATCAATTTTTTTTAATGTAAATTTCAATAACTAAAACAAATTATTTTAAAAATGGTATATTTATTTACAGGGAATGGACATTATTGAATGTAAAATAAATCTATTTTTGTACTAAAAATTGAATTTATTGAATTCAAACTTTGGATTTACGAAATTATATAATGGAATATTTTCAACTCAATTTGTAAAACATATTTTCACATTACATAACTTTAACTTTACTATTCACGAGTATTAATATTTAAATATGGTAGGGAACTAAATGGATTCGAAAGTTTTAAAAATAGGAGAAGATTTTTCTTTTTTTAAAGGAAAAAAAAAGAATATCAAATCAGAGCAATAAAATTATTTATATTTATATATTAAAAAAAAAAGAGTAAATTGGGGGAATTAAACCGTAAGCGGATTAGGGTTTTGTGTTGGCTGAAATTCCCCTAGATCTCATTCTCTTCGGCTTCTATATATTGCGACCTTCATTTTTGTTTTGCGCTCGTCGCCACTTTGCAGAGAAATTTCTTCCAACTTGAAGATGGCGGAAGAGAGATTGACTGGTGTGGTTCAATGGTTCAGCGATTCGAAAGGATTTGGCTTCATCAAGCCAGATGTAGAAGGCCCGGATCTGTTCGTGCATCAATCCTCGATTAAATCCGATGGCTACCGGAGCCTTGTCGTCGGAGACCATGTCGAGTTTCAGATCGCCCCGGGCGATGATGGGAAATCGAAAGCCATCGAGGTTGTTTCCCTCGATGGATCTTCGGGAAACAGGAGGGATAACTTTGGTGGTGGTGGTGGTGGAAGGGGTGGCCGCGGCGGCGGTTATGGGTTTGGTGGCAGTGGCTGGAGAGGCGGTGATCGGCGGAACGGGAGCAGCGGAGCTGGTGGGGCTGGGTGCTATCACTGTGGTGAACAAGGGCATTTGGCCAGAGACTGTACTCGTGCTAGTAACCGCGGCGGAGGCGGCGGTGGTGGGTGTTTCACTTGCGGTGAGATTGGACACTTAGCGAGGGATTGCCCACGAGGAAACAGCGGTGGAGGCGGCGGTGCCGGTGCTGGGGCTTGCTATAATTGTGGCGGTTTTGGGCACTTGGCTAGGGATTGCAATCGGGGTGGAGCTGGAGGCGGAAGTGGTGGTGGCGGTGGTGGTGGTTGCTTTAATTGTGGAGAATATGGACATTTGGCTAGAGAATGCCCGAATGAAAGCCGTAACAGTGGCGGCACTGGAAGATTTGGCGGCGGCGGTGGCGGTGGCTCAAACACCTGCTTCAATTGTGGGAAATCGGGGCATTTTGCCAGGGAGTGTCCTGATGCACCTTGATAAGGAGGGGGAAAAAGAGTAATAGTATATAATTTTTCCTTTTACCTCAATATTGTCCTTTAATTTATGTTCTTCTTTTGGTGTGGATGGTGGCTATACGTAGCTTACTTGAGAGGTTTTTATTATTTTTATTCCATGGTTGTTTCGCTCTTTTAGGGGCAAATTTTCTGGTTCACACATGTGGTGATGATTCGGTTAAAGGAKGCATTTTTATCCTTATTTTCTTGTTTTATTATGTTGCGGTTTTTTTTAGCTTTTTCTTTTCTATTATTTTTTCAATTTCATTGCGTTCGTACCTCCTAATCTCAATTTCATGTTGTGCGAATCAGTGCATGCTTCAATTAGCATCAAATAACCCATTGTGTTGAAATAGCTTCATTTGATTATATACATTTCTGGCATTATCTGTGTTTTAGCATCATTTTGTTTGCTTCTTTATCATCAAGAAGGCATTGTTTTATAGATTTCATTGATTTGGATCCCCATAATGTTTTAAAGCAAGTTTGAGTGTTTGAGTTCACTCTTATCGGTCTTGTTGACCTTCTTAATACCATGTTCTGTTTTATCTGTTGTGGAATTTTTTATAAGGTAGTTAAAATGGGTTTCATAAAATTTTTTTAAGCGTATTCCTCATTTCTGTTTTCAAGTTTCTTAGATTTGACTCCTAGTACAAATCTTTAACTTTCCAAAAGATGTAATAAAAGAACATGGTGGTACATAGAAGGTCTTAACAAAGACAGAAAGGTAGTTAAATGTGTTTCATCAAAGTTTTTAAAGCCTATTCCTCATTTGTATTTTCAAGTTTCATAGATTTGACTCCTAGTACAAGTTTTTAACTTTCCAAAAGATTTAATAAAAGAACATGGTGGTACCTAGAAGTTCTTAACCAAGACAGAGTAGGAGGCACTTGGATGGAATGTGAACAATTAAAAAAAAGGCTGTTGCCTTCTTGATGTTTTCATTCTAGAAGGTGCATAAAAAAAAAGTCTCTTCTGAGTGCTAAGTTAAAGCCTTTTTATTCCGAAGGTGAGATGGGCAGGGGAGGGATGCCTTCACCATACCCATCCCAACCTCTTTCTTCTCCTTGAGGAGCTGTGGTGGGCTATAGGGAGGAGCGACGTTTGTGTGGGGAACAGTCTTTTGAACTCTTATTTCTTGATGTAGTAAAAAAAATTTAAGTCTTAAATACTTGGAATTGATTTCTTTTTATTTGTTTGAATAGCTATTTTAATGTAAACGTGTATGTGAGAATATCATCATAAATAAATAACAGCACTTTGGTTTTGGTAACAAAGCTTATTCTTCCCTAAAAAAAGTTATTCTCTACCCTTATTCATGAAAGGGAATTGGTGAAAACATTATTTTTGCCCTCCTTGTCCTTGTCTTGAAATAATTGAATTTCATGGTTTTGAGGATTGATATGATAAAGCTATGGCTTCATTATTACCTTTTGGACAATAGTTTTTCCATTTTTGCTTTTATAAGAAACCTTTTAGAAAAGAGTACAGTATAATGTTTATAATTGCTAGTTTACTGTCAGCTGTCTATTCAATTCAGTTAAAATGCTCTGTTAGCCATGCATTCTTCTATTTGATTGATGATGATATGTCTGTCACATGTTGTTGAACATCATAGTTCAGTTTAATTTTATTCACAAGAACATAGTTCAGAAGTTACCTTCCTTACCTACCGTACAATACATTTTTGCTTATATTAAGAATTTTGAAGCTTTAGATTCTTCTCATCTATAGGTGTGGGAGTGCGAGGGTAATGAGATTTCTCTCATCGCCGTTGTTTAATTTTCTTTAGCCCTCTACTTCTTTCTCATTGCTATTGGCATTGAATGACTGCTTGGTGAAGTTGTGAGCTATTTTGATTTGAATCAAGCTTTAAACTCCCGTAGTTCGTTTGGTTGGGATGAGTTTCTGACTTTGTTGTGTTCTCTGCTGCTATTCACCCTCTGGTCTGAAATGGAAATGTCTCATGATGGTGTATTTTTCCAGGGCTGTAGGAAGTTCTTATATTATTATGGATGATCTTGAATTATATTTGGATACAACACTTGAATTGTGGGTCATAAGCAGGATGCGTTTAATTCTCTTGAATATTGTTTTCTGGGTTTAAGTTGCAGACGAAATTCCAAGTTTCAGGAACAGCCCATGATTAAGTAAGTGATTGAATCGGTAGCTAAATTTTGTTATTAGTACTTGGGATATGTTGATAACTCTCCTTTTTCCTTAAAACTTGTCTGTTGCTAACTTGTTTGTTTTGTAATATGTTTTTAAAGTTATCTTTACAAGATCTACAAGTTTAAAAGAAATAGTTCCAAAAAAGCCTATGTGGAAGCTTTACAAGTTATTTAAATCATTTTCAGGTCCTGGCCCATATTTATGTAAACAACAAAGTAATCTCCATATTATGAGGTGATAGTATTTGATTAAGATTAGATTAGTTTGAGAGGAATAATGAGACTGAAAAGATTTAGATTTTGTTTTTTTTTTTCTCTTTTTTGTGTGTGGTGGTGGTGGAAAAAAAGTGAAGGAAAACAACAAAAGATGTCTCTTCCATGAGGCGAAGAGGCATGGAGCCGCAAATATGGTGTTTTAGAACAGTTCAAACTTCAAAGCCTTAGAAGAAGTGGACTGTCGTTTCCTTCCTTTGAAAGAATGCTGCTTCAGATTTTACCAAACCACACACTTCCAAAAGTATTTTTCTTTTGTTTTGTAGTTGAAACTTAGGCTCAATAGCATTCCTGTTTTTAGAGGTGGGAGAAGAAAAAGAAAGGAAGAGGCAGAAGGCAAACAGTCTGTAGTAGTGAAGTTATTACTATTACTTTTTATAAACTTGCAAGTCAGTTTTAACATTGAAAAAATTGGTCCATTAAACCAGTGGTCGACTAGCCAACGATTCGATGGAATTCATTTTTTGGAATTTGGTGTTTATTCCTAATAATATAGAGTTGAGCGATCTTTAAGTTGACAGTATTTCTATTCGTTTAAATCTTGTTCTTCCTTCATCATCTCTTGATATGGAAAGCTTGAATGAGTTATCATTTCGATCTAGGAGGTTTGAGTTATGATATTTTCTTTATATATTGTATTAATGTTCATCTGTGTCGTCATTTATCATTGGCAATATTTAGATTGTATCTAGTGGAGTTATTATGTGGGTGTGTTTAAGCTCGTGTTCAAGTAGCATGCTCTGTGTCTCTGTCTCATTTTGCATGGTTTTACCGTCGTTGTCGTTTTCTATGTGATGTCGATTCATTCATATTTTTTCTATTCTTAAATCGGACGTCACATGTAAATCAATAATTCTTAAATTTAATTTTTGAAATTTTAAAATTGGAATTCCCAATTTCCATGAACCTGAAAGTTTGGAGCCAGCCGGCCATGGTCTGAGAGATCTAAAGAACCACGTGCTCTCTCTTCCATGAGCATTGAAGAATCCCCATCCCAATTTCCATACTCTTCACCTATTTCAACAATGGACATAAGATTCCTTTTGCTCCCATGAAAAAGGTATTTTTAAGTGAATAAACTTCTTTTATAAACACTTTTGGCATAAGCATTAATGAAAAACTACTTTTAACTAAAAGGACTAAGTGTTTTCTCGATGGCTTAGTTGAAAGGTTTATGTTTGAGCTATACAACGTTTGATGTACTTTGACCTTTTCAAGTTTGTGTGTCTAATTGCTCAACTTGAACTTAACTTAATAGTTTAAGACACATATCTTCTATCAGAACGTCATGAGTTCAAATATGTTACCATACATATTGTACTAAAAAAAAGTTTCGCGTGCTAGCTTTAATATTCATGGAGAATTTCATTTCAAAACCAATCGACAAGGAGAGGAGTAGTCAATGACTATTATAAATATTTGTAAGGTCATTTTTCTTTTCAACGTGAATCTTTATCACGAACTTCATTAGTCCGTCGAATATCGAACCACCAATCTTCATACCCACTGAATGATTCAAACTCAACCCATTATAGGGATCAACACCGACTTCCAATGGCCCATCTCTAACCGTCGATTGTCAAAAGGAGTTTCGGCCACCTCCCAGGTAAAAACTGTCAAAAACAAGAATTCAATCTTTATTCGATAAGATATAAGTCACCAAACCAAGTATATGTCGTATCAAATGGAAAAAGCCAAGACGTATAACTCACGGATGAGACACCTATTATCATCTAAAAGAGTTGAGTTGGTTAGATCTCAGGAAGAATAAAAATGCAGACCTAGATGAGATTCCTTAATCCTTGAATTCTATATATGGCTTTCAGGTTGCTGTATTCTGACACAGTCTCAGGGCTCTAACTTCAACAAAATCACCGTCCATTTCCATTTCCCATTTTATATTACAATTTGAAAAAAACAAACAAATAATTCAATGGGATGGGATTGCCCCATTCAATCCCCTCTCTATAAATCCATTTCCCCTTCTTCTCCATAACCCTTCTTTCAAAAAGCCATAACAAAAAAGCTTCTCTGTTTTCCCCTCCAATGGCTTCCATTTCTTTCCCTCTTCTTTCCCTCTTCCTTTGTTCCCCTTTAT